TAGTAGAGCATAATGTGGCGTGTTTGAAGACGACCTTGTAGACATATTTCTGTTGAGAGAAACAAGAAGATCATTCCTATTGAACCCCGAATTCAATATTCAAATTGTATCGAGTAAAAAGAAGCCGCGGAAAACCCGCAATAATTATGGACGTGAGTGGAATCCGAGAAGGGCACAGTTCTAGGGTTCAATTCTAATTGGTTGCCCGCAATTTGGTAGAAAGTGAGGTACCGTGAACCGTACTTCTGGTCTATCTTTGCGAGCGATGTCGGTCGAAACTGTCGGCGTTTGCGCACGGTATCTGGTGGTGCGGAAAATGGCGTAGGATAATGTGTAGCTATCTAGTTTCTACAGTAGCTTTCAACACACTCCTAAATCATTATCATGACCCTGCATGTGAAGAAAACTTTTCATCTGATGTCGAAGGAAAACAATTGTAGATCGCTTACCTAGGACGCAAACAAAATTGGACTCAACTCTATCATTGGAAAAATAAAAAGAAGGGAAATCTTTGTTGAAACAATAGGAAATCAGCTAAACAATTCAAAGTCCAACAGAACAACAAGAAATTAGCGTTAACAGATAAGGTTGGGGGCGTTAATCAATCCCGTACGAGAGATGCGCCCTCGCATTCGACTTATGTACATTCGACAACCCGTAATGGCGTATTGAACTCGTGTGTGGCCTATAAGATGGTTTGTGGTGGCCACCCGATGTGCAATTCAGATCTTTTATCCTTCACTAGCAATATAATTCAAGATCCACTCAACCCTCCGAGCCGGGACCGTGCGTGCACTAATTTCGAAGCGAACGCTATCGTCACACTTTCGTCACCGCGTGCTCTTATCAAGGGTACCATCCGTACAGCCATGTCGTTACGTAGCTGATTCCCACAGAGTCGGGAATTCCCTACACCCACACCCATGAATTTCTGTCGCAATTGGTGTCCTTCGACCCAGATTCATCCCTAACCTGCTGTTCCATATCTTAAGGCTAAGATCGCACCTGTGAACATTCTGCCTTTTTGAGACCAAAGATTTTGATGAGGCCTTTTTGTGCCAAATGATATACCCTTCAGTAGGTTGAATGCTCTCAATGGCTAAGATTCGTCAACCAGATAACAGTCAGTGAGTGCACTTGCCTGCTACTAGAGCGTTTCACAGGAGAACGCTTGAAAGCAACAACAGCTTTTTGCATTCGGGAATCCTGATTGCTGGAGCAGACTCTGCTGTGCACAAAAGCGTCTTCCCCAAAAGGGATCTTGCCCGAAATGGGACTTTTTGACGTAATGATGTTACTGTCAACGTGAAAGAGATTAAGAATGGAAGAGGAGTAGAAATTTTGTAAAAAAAAAAAGCAAAAATCACTTGCTCCTGTAGAAGGAGCAGAAAAAAGTTTCTGGAACTAAAAAGGGAATGAACATAATTGTCGTTCAGGGGAATGTAGACAAATTATGTATACTATTCAATAAAATTGCAGTGGTCCTCTCAAGTAGGCGGCCTGTATAAGCTTTGACGGCATTGTTTGCAGTATTCAGAAATTTGACTCTGTGATGTCCAACATATCCGGTGGATCCAGAGGATAAATGGAAAAGTACAATGTAATATGCTGAGAAGGATATAGCTTTTCCAGTATTTCATTGCTTTTAGATTTGACCTTCAAATTGCCCCCCCCCCCCAAACATCTGGCTGAGTTCAAAGATTTAAAAAATAACTTTCACGGGCATTCTCCAGTGAATGAACCCCCGTGAGACCTGCCTGTGGTCATACCCGTGGTTAGAGGTATTGCTCGATGTAGCAGCCATACTGCTGGAACCACCGTCACTGACCATTTTTGTGGGCAAATGGTTAACGGCCATTGTTGCTGTTAAATGCGTATATGCACTCATACATGTGCCTTACCTCCTTATTAAACTTGTTGAAGATGTAACCTCTGTAACTTCCTTCCGAACCTACTGGAACCTATCTCACTAACGCTTCAGCTCACCGCTTACAAGAGAGTTATGGTATAGGAACTGATTTCGACCATTTCTTTGGTGTTTCCACTGTCCGCCTCATTATTGTCATTTCTGCTTCTGCCCCTTCCTTCCACTGACATGGAACTCTTAGCTTCTTTATTTCCTCTAGAAAGCTATAACTAATAAGCCTCTTACTAACAGTAAGTTATCACGCAACCAAGTATGCAGAATGTAGAGTTATGCATGGCGAGGTTGGAACTTGCTAGATTAGCCCACTTGTTCGACTTGTTAGAGACTTTTGCGGTCTTTCGTGAAGACTCTATTAAAGCTCATAGTTGGAAGGCAGATTCTTTTTCTTGAGAACTCGCTTTCCACCATGGATTATTAATTTAAGCCTTAGATTTAGACAAAGAGACCTAGCCCCAGAGATTTTCAGAGACCAGTCGCCTTGTCTCTGTGACACAAGCCATTTTTAGTGAGGTCCAAGTTCAAAAAAGTTGATGTCAACTTAGATTTCACTGTGATGACGGTGATGTTTTCACAGCAACAGTTTCAGTAAAGCTTAGTATGAAAAAACGAATAGTGGACCGAAAATTCATGTGCAAGAGTGAAAGTGAAAGGGGCAGATCTCGAACCACAAGCTATAATTCACGTATGTTAGCGGAATGAGTGAAGTCTCTCAAGCTGGAATCAGGTGGCATATACACAGCTAAGGAGCATAATGGGACCAAAAGAGACGACATGTTGTTGGCAAGACATGCAAATGAGCTTTATCGAGGCTCAAATGCACACCGTGATCATCGTATTGACAACTGTCGAATTCACGAATGTAAGCACTTTATTGTAAGTGTAAACGATTGACTTTTTCCCGTTGAAGCAGGCAAGAAATACTCCGAAGAGGGCAATCATGGAGGTCATATAAAATCTGTCGTTGCCCTACTCACAACCATAGAAGAATCCATTGACAGTCAGGATAATTAATTCCGTTGTCAGCGGCTGTCTGTGCGCTCCTTTTAGGCTAGTTCTCAAATCCGAAGTTAATAAAAGAACAAATTTAGTTGCAGTGCCACTTCATCCCAACTCAAGGCGAGGTCCCGCTGGTTCCTTCCTCCAACATCGGCTGGAAACCTGACACCTTTTCGAAAAGCAAATTTTACACCCCTTCACCTAAAAGCAGTTTCTCAGAGACGTAATAAGATCAACACCGATGAACGCCAAGATCTTCATAGTTGTTGATACAGCATGTGTGGTCTTCTGATCATTGGAATCGAAGGTTGTAAACCTTTTTTGGTTTCTTATGCAATATTCTCTATAACTTCAGGTTCAGAGCACCAGGTGCTATGCAGGAAGTTAGTCCAAGACTCTGACTTCGAGGTGACAAAACTCTTAAACACCGTGGCCAAAAATAAGCAAGGGTCAAGTTGTCCAGACAGTCAAACCCACCCAGTTTCAACGAGAAGTACATTCTTGGGAGGTGAGTGCCTCGACTATGTAGCAGTATATGATAGGAGCTTAGAGCTACTGAATCGCTATAGCCTACGTTTTGTAGTACACAGTTCCCTCACCTTCAGAACTCTCTACCAGTGTAAAACACTGACAGCTCAGGTAAATTACTACTTTTTGAAGCTTTTATAGCTTTTTTTGAGCTTCAAACATGTCCTTTCCACTTTGTTATGGGGTTTAAGANAAGCCTAGCATCGTACAAATACAATACTCGTATTATGCCTCAAAGTGCTATTAGGAGTTGAAACTATATCCACAGATATATCTCCGAGCTATACAACAAGGGTGTGAGGCCAAAGACGACCGAGTATGTGTTTCCACCGTAGGTCCGATTTCCGCTCACTCAACCGATTCAAGCGGACCGAAGGAAAACCATCACTGACTAGAGATTGCCCATTATGCAGAGCTCGAGCCACGCTTCCGAACCCAATGTGGTCAACCCATATAACCTTTTGAGCAGTATTTTCATAGGACTTTACTCTTTGCAAGACTGGTCTGCAGCTCAAGGACATATTCCCAGGTATATGGTATTCCGAGTATGCGCAGATTACATTTCAATGTCAGAAAATCCAAGGAGTAGTGTGTGGGTAGCGTTATAGTCTTTGATGATACTCTTTTAACAATTAATACGAAAACGCAATCATTCCGGAACCCATCGACACCCATTTCCAGCAAAGGCAGGCTTGTGCCTCGCTGCATATCAACATCCCTACGAAAAAAAGGTCGAAGCAGAGATAGATAAACCACTAGTGAGAAGTCTTATTGCTCTCATTCTGATCGGCCGACTTCACACAGGAAAGCATTGAAAATCATATCTATCACATTTTGGGTATCGTCCTGAATCCTGCTGGACTCGTGTTGTTTGTGCGCGCCAGTCGAGTGTCGGGCCCATGGGGGTGCATGCAAAACCGCAGCAAAATTCGTTGATAATTTGAACATTTCGTGAATGGAGCAAGAAATTCTTTTCGGAGGCTTTGCAGAGGTAGTCCTGCTCGCTATGCACACTGAAATTTGAAGACTACTTCTATTTGAACTTCGGAACTTGGCCCAACACTATAGTTATCTGTGTTACGCGGCGTCGATTCCAGGCAGGCTCACCTTCCAGACGATGGTCGTTAAAGACGGTCATTTACTTGAATATACTCTAAGATAATGGGACTCCATGAAAACATAGAGATTTCAGTCATGGATTTTGGAATTGTTCCAATTTCCCTTGCCAAATGGTCCCTACTTATGTCATAGAAACGTCAACGCCCAACTTTCGCGTGCTTAGTAAGCATTTGGGCTGCGAATTTCGCGATGGAATTTTGTGAGCTTATAGCAAAATGTTTTTTCAATCAAATCACCAAATTGGAACTTGTTTCGTTGAGTGATTGTTGTTTTGTTGATGTTTTACCATGCAACAGTCAACACAGCGCCGCGCCGTTTAGGTCCACGGCGCTGTCAACCGCAGTGGGGGCGCGACGGGGGAACCCAGCCCGCTATGTAAGCGACCACGGCGCAGCCTCTCCAGCTCGTTGTCAATTCAACTCAAGTCGTCATGTCTGCTCCAGCTGTTGCTTCACCCAAGCCTGCCAAGGCCTCCAAGCCTAAGACCGCCAAGAAGGCTGCGTCCCACCCGACTTATTCGGCCATGATCCGCAGATCGATCTCGGAGCTCAAGGACAAGTCTGGATCGTCTAAAGCTGCCATCCTCAAGTACATGCTGGCTCATTACAAACTCGGCGAGAATGTGACCAAGGTGGGATTTTGACTTATCGTTACCTAACCGAATAATGAGATGCAGTTATGATTCGGTTTAAGTGTCCAGGTGGTAAATCTCATGCTTTCAGATCAATGCTCAACTCCGTTTGGCTCTTAAACGAGGTGTCGTGAAGNGCTCTTAAACGAGGTGTCGTGAAGGGAGACCTGAAGCAGGTTAAAGGAAGCGGTGCATCCGGAAGTTTCAGACTCGGAGAGAAGAAGGCCGCTGCTCCTGCCGCCAAGAAGGTTAGTAACAGTTCATCCACTTACTTCTGTTCGATGCTTGGTCATTGCTTTTGTTTCAAAGTGATATAAAGTCCTGTCTTTGCAGAGCATCACTAAGAAGCCCGCTGGTGCTAAGAAGCCTAAGAGTCCGAAGAAGAAGGCCGCTGCAGCTAAGAAGCCCAAGGCAGAGAAGAAAGCTAAGAGTCCGAAGAAGGCTAAGGCACCAAAAGCCAAGACCGCCAAGAAGCCAACGGCCAAGACATCCAAGCCAAAAGCCACGAAGCCCAAGGCCTCCAAGCCGAAAGCAGTGAAGAAGGTCAAAGCCTAAGCAGTTGTGTTGTTAAGTGCCTTTAACCTTCCAGAGATCTCATGTACATATTCTATTTGTGTGTATAAATCGCTGATAAACTTTGAAAATACTCTGCTTTGTTGTTATGTGTATGGGGAAAAAGGTACAACGTATCCAAAAGCTAATTATAAAGTAGGGGAGTAGAGCTATGGCTGTGAAGCGGTTCATCACGATAGGGCCATTGCGACGAACAACACGGTGAGGTGGCCTGGAATAACACCACGGCCTGTTCGAGGACAGTGATAGCCACCGTGTTCTTTGGACCGGGATCTCTACTCCTAGTGAGGCATGCTAGGAGAGTTAGTTCACGCCCAACTCCAGGGTTCTCTCCTTGTTAACTCACACAACTACCTGTGAACGGACCACCTACGATGAGAAAGTCGTAAGGTCTGGATTAGCCCGAAGACCTCCAGGACAACACGCAATGTAATGACTCTCATTTGCATTGGGTTCTCTATTACCTATGGTTATTGTAACAGATCCGTGTGCGAGAAAGCGCTCTATCTGGGCCAACCTAAGAAGTGCTCTCTTGTTCTGTCTGCTCGTTAATGTGCGAGAACCATGCGAAGCTTTTGCTACTTGACAAACTTTGAACAGGCCCCCTTCTTCCTTCTTATTTGTTAGGGAGAAGATTCCTGGGATATCAAGGTTAAAGCATGCTTGGCGCTTGAGAATACCAAATCCCGCTTGAAAACTATGAACTTAGGAACCTGCTATGAAGTCGATTTGAAAGGGCGCAGAGGCCGGGGGAACAGGATCAGCCAAGAAAGGGTGCAGTACATCTATCTCCGAGCAGTACTCCCTCATAAAAGACAAATCCTCTCTATGCCATGCCAAAGACGTTTGAAATCCTCCATACTGTCTTACTATCGCCCCATGGATTGATGAAAAAACTACTTGTCCCCTAGCAAAGAACTTCAGAACAGGTTTCCCAAGAACTGGAATGCATTGCACCCCACTTCTTTCATGAACTCTTACTGACGACGAGGAATCCGATCAATCGCTATTTCCTCCGATGGATGAAATCTCCTTATGTCTCCTCTCGAGTTGGGATGAGATCTGAAAAACCCAGAACGAATACTGTGTAGTCCTCTCAACCACGGCCTTTTGGCCGAGACGCACGCTACAATTGGACTGGACAACATCTGGAATGAAAGACTGCTTTTCCGGTTCTGTATACGCTGATCAAGGACTGGGATTGGATTCCAATAAATCGGGAGAAAAAGAAGTTTGTTCCCAGTCAACTGAAAAGTAGTTGGGCAGGGGAAAACGCATGCAACGCTACATCACCCCGGAAGCCGGGATGTTGGCGCCCACGCTTGAGAGATCAGCGTGCCCCGCGAAATTCAAATTGCAGGCATTACGTCGGCCCGCTGACCTTGCATACTTCGGACCAGGTGCCACCTATTAGGTCGGTGGCCACCGCAGCGATCGCAAATAAACACAAGTGAGACTTCTCTTACCTAAACATTGGCGAGAGATCCAAGCCCTATCGATATATCTAGGTCTCTATTCAAAGTCCCATAGGAAGTTGAAACCCTTCCCTGGTAAGTCGTAATCGTAGTGAAGATGACGCAAGTACGAGACAGAAGCCTGCCTGTTTTGCTAGTTTTGGGCGACTTCTCGGATGGTCGAAGTTTTCATCCACGATTAGTCGGTCGGCTGCGCAGATGTNTGACAGTGAAAGTGGAGCGTGAAACATTCGCTGATTAACGTGTGCGTATGAAGTAGCGCCCGTACCCCGCTTGCCTCACCCGCACCATATCGCACAAACTCAGTGGGTGATCGGTGCACTCAATGTGTGGTCTAATTTGAATGATTCAGGTTCCGATACGGTTCCAATGGGTACGGTAATTGCAGTTTGATGGCGTCAGGCCACGAAGAAAGATTTGCGTGCACGCAACGAGCACAAACTCCGTTTTAGTTGATCCACGATTTGCACTATGGTAGGACCTTTTGCCATAATTTTCTATGGGGATCTTATTCGACCACTTCCTTCCTTTCTTGATTTTCTATGGGGACATATGTGAAAATGAAAAACGTTTAAGACCAACGCTATACATGAACCTAGCACGATGGACAGTAATTCACTTTCCTTACTGGAACAGACCACTTTATATGGACAGTGTGAAAAGGCAAGTCGTCTACAGTTAAGTACAACATGCAGGAGACATGGGGACACGCTATCGGACGAATCGATAACAAGAAGCATACCATAGAGGAGAGGTCGTCAAATCGACGTATCGATTGGATTGATTTCTTCTATCGCTCGATTGGAACAACAAATGGTTTTTTTTCGGAATGTTACGTATCACTTTCTTTATCCTGACAGCTTTCTTTAAAGGTGATTTCGGCCAGAAAGGTCAAAACAGTGGGGGAGGGCAAGGCAGAAGCAGCGTTGAGGGATCATCTCCCGGCTAACAAGGGAAGTAAAATGGGATCGCTATTGGCATCCGCAGTTGCCATTTACATCAACGGAAGCTGTGTACATGGCGTAACCTTTACAATGACCAGTCCAACCCTTTCAGCAACCACAGAAATAATTCGATGAAGCTGTCACTCGCATGTGATCTTTTCAGAAAAGAAATGCTGAATGTCACTGCCTCCTGTGACCACTTCATATGTAATAGCTGGGCCAATTGTGTGAAGAAAGCTTTTTTTTGCAGAACAAAATTCTCAGGACCTCAAAAAATCCACGTGGCATG